GGTGGCGAGCGCGGGAGGCGGGGACCGGCGGCGGCGGCGGCGGCGGAGGAGGCCGGGGACAGCGAGAGGGGGGGAGCGGGACGTATGGCGTCATAGCGCCGCGCCGCCGCCATCTTGAGGAGGGCGAGGGCGGCGGGGGCGGCCATAGGCGGGAGGTCGGCGCCATGTTGGGGAGGGGGTGAGGGGCCGGCGCCATCTTGGGAAGGTCGCGGCCGTTCCCGCCTCAGGGGCCTCGGCAGAGCGGGAGCGCTGCTAAAAAAGGGTTTGGCCTGGAAATGCAGGGAAAAGCCGCTGGAAATAAATTTATCTTGGAGGTATTTGTGGTGGGAAAATCCAGTTTAAAATGGAAGTTATGGAAAAATAAATTTAAAATAGATTTTTTTTTTCTTTTCCGTATTTTTGGTGGGGAAAATCAGTTTAAAATTGATTCCCTCCCCCCACTATTTTTGGTGGGAAAAGCCAGTTTAAAATAAAAGTTGCGGAAAAAACAGTTTAAAATAAATTTTTTTTTTGCATGTTTTTGGTGGACAAATCCAGTTTAAAATGGGAGTTGTGAAAAAAAACAGTTTAAAATAAATTTTTTCGGCATGTTTTTGGTGCAAAAATCCAGTTTGAAAAAGAAGTTGTGGAAAAATCAGTTTGAAATAGATTTTTTTCCAGTATTTTTTGGTGGGAAAAGCCAATTAAAAATAAAAGTTGCTGAAAAATCAATTTAAAATAAAATTTTTTTTCTTGGCCTTATTTTTGGTGGAAAATCCATTTTAAAATGGAAGTTGTGGAAAAAACATTTTAAAATAAAAGAATTTTGGCATTTTGTTTTTGGTGAACAAATCCAGTTTAAAATGGGAGTTGTGGAAACATAAGTTTAAAATAGCATTTTTTCATATTTTTTGTGGGAAAATCCAGTTTAAAATGGAAGCTGCAGAAAAATCAGTTTTAAATGGATTTTTTGTTCATATTTTTGGTGGGAAAATCCAGTGTAAAATGGACATTGTGAAAAATCAGTTTAAAATTGATTTTTTCCTCCCCCATATTTTTGGTGAGAAAATCCAGTTTAAAATGTAAATTCCTGGGAAATGCCTTTTAAAATAGACATTTTGGGGAAAAAAAAAAAAAAGTCTAAAATAATTTGGTGGGGTGGGGGTTTTTTTTTGTTTTTTGTTTAGTGGTTTTGTTTTGGGGTTTTTTTGGTGGTTTTTTTTTTTTTTTTTTTTTTTTTTTTTTTTTTTTTTTGGGTTTGGGGTTTTGTTTTGGGGGTTTTTTTGTTTATTTTTTTCTTTCTTTGGGTTTGGGGGGGTTTTTTGCCTTTTTTGGGTGAAAAAAATCGTCTTTAGAATGGATTTTTCTTTCATTGTTTCGACAGAAAAATCCATTTTAAAGAGGAAATTGTGGGAAAAATCCAATTCAAAATTGAAATGTTTCCCTTTTTGGTGGGAAAAAATGCAGTTCAAAATTTATTTTTTTTCCCAGTTTGTGAAAAAATCCATTTTGAATTTTTTCCCCCATTTTCTGTGGAAAAACCCAGTTAAAAATACAAATTGTTTCCGTTTTCTGTGGAACTCACAATCCACCTGGACTTTCAGTGGGACTTAATAATACTAAAGACCAATGTAAACAATTCCATGCTTTAGGGAGCTGAAAAATAAATAAGGATTTAAAACACAGAGGGCAAAGGAGCTGAGGGAAATAATAAAAACGGGTGTAAATCCGTGGGGTTTTTGACTTTTGAGGTGGACCTTGATACCTGATTCTCTGAAGCTGATGGATTTTTTTTTTTTCCCTTAGGAATGACATGGAAAACATAACGGGGACAGGCACGAGAAGAGTTCCCAGAAGTTATTTAAGAGCAGCCTGGAAAGCAAAATATTTTCAGGGATGTCCCTTCTTTTAGAGACAATTTGTGTTTGTTCCATGCTCTGTGCTCGAGGTCTGGGGGGTCAAAAAATTCCTTGGATTTAAATTAATCACCATATATATGTGTGTGTGTGTGTGTATATATGTGTGTATATATATATGTGTGTGTATAATATATATAATATATATTATATATAATATATATTAATATATATCTACTTATATATATGTATGTATATATGTGTATATGTATAATATATATTATATATAATATATATTACTGTATACTACTTACATATATGTGTGTGTATATATGTGTATATGTATAATATATATATTATATGTAATATATATTAATATATATCTACTTATATATATATGTATGTATATATGTGTATATGTATAATATATATATTATATATAATATATATTTATACATCTACTTACATATATGTGTGTGTATATGTATAATATATATTATATATAATATATATGTACTTACATATAAGTGTGTCTATATATGTGTGTATGTATAATATATATTATATAGTCTAATATAATCAATATAATATATATTAATATATATCTACTTTTATATATATGTGTATCTGTATAATATATATTATATACAATATAATATATTATATATATTAATACATTTCTACTTATATATTTATATATATATCTACTTAATACATTTCTACTTAAATATTTATATATATATACATCTACTTATATATTTATATGTCTGTATCTATAGGTGGATATGTAGGTAGACATTCCATGGAATCTGGGATCCCTGCAGGAGGAAGATCCTGGAGAAAGGCGGGTTCAGGTGAGGCAGCAGGAAAATCCCACAGGGGTAGGATGTGACAAACCCGGGTTTGGGGTTTTGGGAACAGTTTGGGCAGAGCAGGGCTCGGAATGCTGCAGGTGCAGCTGCTCCTGCCTCGGGCAGCAGGCTGGGTTGGGATGTCCCATCCAGGTGCATATTTCCAAGGTGTTGCTGGTGGCTTTGGAATGGGCTGATCCAGACATGGGATTGTGAAAGTGCCCAAAATCCCTGAGTCTGTGCCTGCTGAGTGCTGGCAAGTGTGGTCTCTTTTTTTGTGGGGGGAAAAAAAATCATATTTACAAGGGATTTTTCTTTCCTTGTTTTGGCAGAAAAATCCATTTTAAAGTGGATATTATGAGGGAAAGCCAGTTCAAAATGGAAATGTTTCCCCTGTTCTTTTTTTTTGGTGGAAAAATACAGTTTAAACCAGATTTTTACAGTACAAAAGGGAAATTTCCTCTTTTCTTTTTTTCTACCTCTGTGAAGAGCAAGAGGAACAGCATGCCAATCATGGATGATTCAGAGAAGCATAGTTTCTCTTTCTCTTTGGAAATCTGAGCACCAGCACACACCTCCCTGGGTTCTCCTGGAAATCCAGGCTGTGCTGGGCCATAATCCCACGTGAAAAACTTGGGAAAACACTTAACTGGGAACGCAAATGTGGCAGCAGAAGGAAGGGAGCCATGGGAGTGCTGGAGGCTGGTCAGGAAATGCCAAATTCAGTGTTCAGGGAAAGCCTGGGGAGGAACAACCGTGGGGAAAGGTTTAAATGTCCCCATTCCTGGGTGTGGGAAGGGAAAAGCACAGGAAAATCACAGAATTTTGTGGAAGGAGCTTGCTTGGAAGGGAATTTAAGGATCATCCATCTCTACCCCCTGCCATGGACAGAGACAATTTCCATTATCCCAGAGTCTGGGGATGATGGGAAGGGTTTAAATGTGCCCGTTCCTGGGTCTGGGAAGGAAAAATCACAGGAAAATCACAGAATTGTGGAAGGGGCTTGCTTGGAA